CGCGACGCGAAAATTCGCGGTTGGTCTGAAAGCACCATTAGGCTTACACTTTTCAAAACACATACAGTACACATGTGAGGCCACACACACGATTCCAATTTGGCATAGTGTCTTGCAGGAGATGCTTTAACCCAACATTGATCTGACGGGTACCAACAACATGAGAAAATACCAAAATTAATTTTGGCAGGCACAGGTGCTCTGCAAACCTTCAAACCACAGAAGATGTTATATTCATCATCATTTCCACAGAGGAGAAACTCTGTGTCTGTCCATTAGTTGGTCTGAATGGTAATGTTTCACAGCAAAATGGATGCATTCAAATGCAGCGTGGAGAAAAAAGTGTCAAAAGAAAAGGGCAGAGGAACCGTGTCGAGTGAAAACAAGAGAGGAAACGAAGGAGAATGAAAGAAGGGGGAAGAGAGAGATCACGTTCAATTTCCTCCACTGGAGAACATTTCAAGGCCTGAAACCCCATCCTGGGTTCCACTGGCCAGGCGGGCCTCGTTTGCATGGGAGCCCATTTCCTGTGTGTGATTAGCAGAAGGGAGAGTGTGCGTGTATGTGTGTGGGCAAACTGGGGTTGCAGTTCAGAGAGGTCTGGGGTTGTTTTGTCTGCTTGGGAAGGAAAGGAATGCCCAAATCAAACACAGTGAACAGGATGCCTTGATAGAGAGAAAGCGAGAGAGAGAGACAGGACACAGAGATGCAGAAAGTAGCAGACAGAAGGAGCTAACAAAAGAAAGAAGGAGGGAAACCCCAGAGAGGAATAGAGCAAGAGATTGATTTTTCATTTGCTGCCACTGAACACTGCGAACAGCATTCCTCCTGTTCCTATTTGCATTTCAACAAGGTGCAGTAAGAATTCTCTACAAGCGGATGAGCTGTTAAATGGAAAATCATCCACATCTTTAACTAGACTGTAAACCTGCAGAACCTGTCCTAATATCTAATGACTTGCAGAGCTTCACCCTCCCTGTTCCACAAACAGCTGAGGCATTCACACACTACTGCTGCTGACGACACAGATTAATGTTTTTAATTCATACAGCCATTTATGCAACAACAGTAATATGAAAAATAGCAATGTCACAGAACACCTTTTTAGTCCACACAGCTCAACAATATAGGAATCTCCCAAGGTCAAATCCACTGTTTAGCATAAAGAAGAGTTATGCTTTGGCTACATTGAATGAGTACACCTTTTGCTTTTAAAATTTCTGGTTGACAAGGGTTACATTCAAATTAACAGAAATTTCATGTTAGTTTGACTTTTTGTTTTTAAATACACACATGTTGAGGATACCAGAAATATGTGTAAGCTTTTGGGGATTTTTTTGGAACTGGGGAAGGGTGTTGCATTAAGCAAGTGAACCTCAGTCATGGTGTGTATTTTATTAGCTAATTTCAGTACCCAATATTTCCCAGCAGTTTCAAAGTTCAGTTTCCAAACACTTCCTTGTGTTGTGTGTGTGCGAGCTAGACCCTGCCCATGTAGGAGCAAGCCAATCTTTGACTGGCAGAGCAGAATTGATAGGCTGCTATTGTTTCCTTTTAAGGTCAATTGTGTCTGAAATGCTTGGCATGGCTGGGAGTGCAGATGCAGCTGGCTGGCAAGACGGATAAAGCACTAATTTAACTGCATTTTTCTGTGCAGTCCACACCTAGAGAGAGAGAGAGAGAGAGAGAGAGAGAGAGAGAGAGAGATTCAGCGCTATACCTATTAAAAGTGTGTTACTTGATGTTGAATGCATACTGATCACTCTTTTTTTTTAACACAAACACATACGCTTTGATTACTTTACGCTTTAACGCTTTAATTACTTGTTTAATGAAATGTATGGGGTTGATTGTTCTTATGTTGTATGTATGATGCTTTGGCAATATTGTTGTTACACATTCATGCCCATAAAGCTAATTTGAATTGTGAGAGAGAGAGAGAGGGAGAGAGAGAGAAATATAAAACATTTGAAGAGGTTTAGACAAAAAAAAATAAAAAAGCAAGATATGTATGACTAGAGGGTGAAAACAAGGAGGTAAAAACTACAACGAGTTTATCCAAGTGGGTGGCCAAGACTCACTCTTTGCCACGGGCATCGAGCTCTGCTGTACTCTTGTTTGTCCAGGCAGTCAAAACACACCACCACATGTGGTAGACCTGTTTGTCAAGGTCCACAATAGGAGGGTATACACATATATACATAAATGTCTACCCACACCTAAACTTGTCACAGCGTGACAATCCACGCTGTGTAAATCATCCCACGTTTGATTTCGACGCCAAATTTGCTTGAGCATGATACTGTACCCACTCACTGCAAGTTGCTCTGAATAAAGGCATCAGCTAAATGTCTAAAATGCAATGATTAAATATTCTGCTGAAGAGGGAAGGAAAAGGGAGGGGGTACCGGACGGCCAGACCGGCTTAGCTTTCACAAATAAACCCAGACGGTGGGAGAAAGAGAGGGAGCCGGCTGAAGGCTGGATCATAAAATATGCCTGGTATTCCACAATGTTCCACAGTGCACAAATGAGCCACTCAGGGACTTGGGGAGTGTTACGGGATTCCTGTGAGGCTCCTGTGTCTGAATGTGTTCACATGCACACACGTATATACCCACACAAACACACAACTGTGCGTGAGCCAGACATTCAGCACTATACCTATTAAAAGTGTGTTACTTGATGTTGAATCCATACTGATCACTAAAACAATCCAACAGAAAAGAAAGCATAGAATAAATAGGTAAAGAAATCGTTTTGGTCAAATGGTGCCTTTTGTTATACATTTATCTAAATGTTAGCTGCAAGAAGTGCAGGGCACATAAAGGGACCACCAGAGGGGAGTCGATGACTTGCTCATGGTCAGAGTCGCTGTGTTTCTCTCTGCTGCACTGTAAACAAATGGAAGAGCAGTGTATGTCTAATCACGGTGAGTGATCCAATGTGTTTAAGTTAATTCAGTGACGTTCCAGTAACTCAGACTAACTACTGAAACGATCAATATTTAGATGTTTACAGGTTCTCCCATGTGAGAATTATCAGCTTTTCCTGGATTTACATTGTAATAATATGAATGCTTTAGGGCTTCGGCCTGTTGGTTGGACAAAGGAAGAAATTTTAAAATGTCACCACCCGGGACTTTTAACAACTGGGATAAACATTTTCAACAACTAATGAATGAGTTGAGAAAATAATTGGCACATTAATTGATAATGAAAATAATAGTCTGTCGTAGCTCCAGAGCCCATGGTGATGAAGACATCACCTTGGGCTCTGGGAAATGGAGGGTATTTCTTCACTATTTTCAGACATTTATTCAACTAAACAATTCGTTGAAAAGACAGTCAACAAATTAATCTGTTTAACTACTCATTAGTGGAGCATCCTAGGAGTCTTTGTTGCATGTCATACTCCCCTCTCCCTACCTTTGTTTCCTGTCAGTCTCAATAGTTGTTTAACAAAAGTGAAAAAAATAAATAAATTGTTGGTGCAGCTCTCCTCCGAACCCAAACTACTTCTTCAACTGCTACTACAAAAACCTTGGACATGAAAGGGTTTCAAGCATGTCTGTTGAAGTAAAAGCTACATTTTAGCCAGTCTATTTTTATGGCCTCGCTGTGGCTCGCATTGTGCTGCTTCACTTCCCCTGGTTGGGACAGTTAGCACGAAAAGGAGCTCCAAAAGCAATGTTGGCATGGAGGGGAAAACCAGCCCTCAGTCCTTCACAAAAGACAGCGGTACAGAGATCTCCTCCAAAATAAAACCAAAGCAGTGAAGAGGGGGGAAATAGGGGGAAAGAGGAGGAGAAATAGAGGCTGAAAATAGCCTAGCAGTCGGGGTCTGTATGCATCAGCACCACAATGATGAAAGTCTGAAAACCAGACTTGCTAATACATGGATGGATGGATGGATGAACTGAGGGAGGGGAGACTGTGGGAAAGAAGAAAAACATCTTACCAGTTTAGTTTTAAATGAGGGTAGGTGAAAACGAAGGATAAACAAAAATAAGGGGACTTAAGAAAGTCAGATAAAAGGTCACAGGCATGAAAAACAAAAGTTGTGACAAGTTGTTGAAAGCTGATTAGATTTACCAACCCATTGTAGCACTGTCTACAAACTAAATAAGTAAAAGGGACAGAAAAATAAAGTTAAGCAGACACAGAGCACAGAAGACAAAACAGCCGAGAGAAACAGCAGAAGGGGGAAGTGAGCAATTGCCAGGTTGCCATGGCGTCTGAGCATTCCTCTCTGAGAACATGTATATTTTCTGATCACAAGAAAAATAATCTGCGGGAGGAATTTTATTTTGAGAGCCGCCCTGTAGATCCAAGGATTAGAAGAGGTCAGGCAGGAGTGTGTATATCCCTCACACAGTCAAGGTGCATCACCAGACAGATCATTTGTAAAGGAAGAGCACAGAAGGATCCAAATCCGGGGTGCTCAAGTCACGTACAATCAACTGAATAAACACCCACGCCCACAGCTACACTGTATACC